CACCCTTAGCAGGTAGGTTGGCAACCGCAAATAGACTTTGGTAATCTTTTAAGAAGGACGATACTGCCCACTCTTCGACTATTAAGTTCCCTTAGTTGTCTATCATGACACCTATGGAAAAAGAGATGACCTATTCTATGCTGGGACCTCACGGCATTAACTCTCTGACCGCGTATTTTTTTAGCTTCATTACCACATCGCTTTGACAACAAATCGAGATTCTGAGAAACAATATTAATCTACCCAAACAAAAATCACGGGATAAAAATGTCAATAAACATAAAAAATACGAGCATGTCGAAATCCAGGGATGCGTAAAATTAAACTAGCAGATACTGCACACGGAAATCGCGGATTGCGCAGTCAGAGGGTTAAAAATTCATACGGTCCATCTTTACATAAAGTCTAGGGTAGTTTAAATAATAATAAACGTGGAAACTATTGGCAAAACCCTCCTTATGAGGGAAGCCTAGTCTCTAGTTTTTTTAAATGGGTGATAACCCCGTCTGGGCTATCGGTATACACTGGCGGGGCACCAGTATTAGATAACTGATAAGGATGAAAGCAGGTAAGTTAGCCCATCCTGACGAATTCAACTAGAATTAGCCACGATGGTTGCAAAGAGGAACCACGTGGAGGTCGACCTAATAGGACATATTGCTAGCAATGGGACTGTCAAACTCCATTACTAACAATCCCTTTCCCCCCAACTACAAAAATCTCCGACTTTACTAGCAATATATCCTGTCAGGTCACGTGGTCCACTCTGGAACCCATCGTGCTGCAAACCAAGTGTATTCATCACAATGGGCTAATTGATCTGTCTTTCCATCCTCACTGGTGCCCCGCCAGCGTATATCGTTGCTGCAAACGGGGTTACCATTTCATTTACATCCAGTAACAAAAATACCTCCGACCAGCCCATTAGAGGTTACAGTCGTGAACATATTGTTTATAACACTTTATACCCACGCGAACACTACCTCCACTATTCATACTCTTTGATCTAGTTAAATTCCTAAGCACACAGTCCGATATTATTTCTCGCTCGGATTGTAGACAAAGCCGCCCCCTAATGAGTTTACTTCGCTTACAAATCCTATTCGCGGGCGATGGGGAACCCGAGGGGAGGAATCAGACGAAGATGGAAAACGTATTTGCAATGAAATTGCGATGAGTTTACTACGCTTGTTTGTTCAGTATTTCTATTTGTTGCTTTTAATTAAATGCTATTATGCCCATTGATGTGTGAAATCTCTGAATAATGAAACGGCGGGGTTTGCCCCGACTTAAATCAACTACAGTTAGTGCATCAAAATTCTGCTTTGCTATTTTTTTATCACACTAAGAATGGCAAGTTGAAGGCCTACCTGATGGAGATTGTAACCATTGCCTACAGACTATGAGAGTAGTCGATGATCCCAGATTTAAAAGCGGTATTGTACCTTGAAGTCTTAGGAGAGGTTTAGCCACGTCGTTGTACAACGGACTGTGCTCAGAGGAATTGTTCAAAAGATGCCCACGGCCATTTTCCACGATCGTACAGCTCGCTCCCATATCTTAGAGCCTAGATGGTCGCGTATAGCGCGGTTTCAGAAATGTCCTCCCGCGAACGCTCAGGTAATTAAATAAGCTCTCTATCGAGGTTTTTCCAAGAAACTACAGCATGGGATTCTTCAAAAAAGTAGTTCATTAGCTACGGTACGGCTTACCATCAGGTGGGCCGTATGCCTATTTGCCATCTCGGTGATATAAAAAAAAATAGACATGAACAGCCTTCATGCGTTGTCTGAGGATTATGGTGTTTCTATACCTTGTAAATTCACTCCCATAAACTCTTCACACCGAAATACAACCATGCAAGAACAGGTACGTTACAGCTAAAAGGGGAAGACTGTACCCAAGCAGGCGACTTAATTAAATGCGATTATGCCCAGTGACGTGTGTAACCACTTAATAATGAAATCATGGGAAACATTTCACTTAACGTTTAACCCATGGTAAGCCATAAAGCCAACTACTTCTTGATGATTGAAATAGGACTTACCGTCCGTTTAATTTCATTTAAATACATTTAATATCAATGTAGTGCTCGTGTTCTAACTATAACATCTGTTATTTTCTATTTTCACATTTTACATCAAACATTCGAAGGCTGACTGAAGGAATGCCTTTTATGAGATAAATCCGCCATTTTTTTTTGATGGGTGAAAATAGTATGGTAACCCCGCCTACGCTAACGGGATACGCTGGCGGAGCACCAGTGAAGGGTGATAGATGAGAATGAAAACAGGCTAGCTAGCCCATCATGATGAATTCATAAAAAATTAACCATGATAGTTTCCAGGGAGAACCGCGAGTAGGTCGACCTGGCTGGGTATATTGCTAGCAATGGGATTCTCAGTCTCCATTACTAACAATTCCTTTCCCCCCCATTGTTAATAGGTACTATAAAAATATAAACGAACTCATTCAGTCAAAATTATTTATTTAAACACATTATACGATAATAACATCTTTAATAAATAATGTATTAAATACATATTCTCTCAAATAGAGTCCGTCCAGCTTAATTACCGTGATATGTTATATTTAAAATTAATAATAATAAATTATTTTAGTCTGGAAAGTTTATAAGTTAATATGAAATATAGTGGTTTTTGTTAGGTTTTGTTAAGAGTTCGAAATATTTAATATTATTTAGGATAATTTATTCTGTCTACACATACGAGTAGAATAGACGATTTATAAACATAACTATTTTTTCTCACTTTCCCTTTAAACTTAACCTTGATGGTTGTTAGAATCAAATTGTTTTATTTGCATTTCTAATACAGTTAATTATTGGTTACAGTCATATATTGTTTCTATTTATATATGTATATATTTATTTATTTAATATGTTATATGTATGTTTATATTTGATTAATTATATGTTTGTAATATATGAATATATTAATAAAAAGGTTATTTTTCTTCTTTTTAATAATGCACCGCCAATTTATTTCTCTGTTCGCCCAATGATTGTTGACTGGTAGGGAACACCGTCCGGTGTTAAGTCTGCCATATGTATGTACATAGTTTCACTGCGCATTAAAGTTTAAATAAATAAGTATGTGCGTACCAGGTGAGGGGGCTGGTTGGCCAAAACGAAAACTGCTGAATCAGTTGGGGGCTATCATGGGCGAAACAATATACTCTAGTATGTCCATGGTACTGCTCATGTCTATAGGCGACGGTTACCACTTTCCATCAGGTGGGCCGTCAGCTTGTTTGCCATTCTAGGTTGTATAAAAAAAAATAAAAAAAAAAAAAAAAGAAAACAGTTGGCAGATTGTGTTTCTACCGTAAATGGACCAATGCCATATAATAAATGATTTTTAAATTAGTTGACGTGCAATCTATTTGAAATTGTACGACGTACTGTGCTCCACGCGTCTCGGGATATCTACATCGCACGGTCATTGACGCTTCCTCGTGGGTAGTTTTAGTACGCTTATGGTTTTAACGTTGCATAGATGATTCCGCGCGTCGCGGTAGTATTTTAATACGAATCAATTCAATCTGAATTCAAATCTCAATTCGGTTGTATTTTTTTTTATGTTTGTGACCTCATAACTCCGTCAGTTATAGTAATTTACCAGAGGGATACTTTGTACAAAAGTCGTTTGCTTGAATACCTCTATCCCATTCATGTTTCAATCGTAAAGCAGTTGTGTTTGCATGGCTGTATTTCGGTTTGAGTGGTGGGATATGGCGTGAATTTACAGGACACAGAGGAATAACACCTGAGTCCTCAGGAATGGCAACGCATGGGGAGTATCATGGGTGAAACTATATACTCTGTTATGTCCATGGTACTGCTCATGTCTATAGGCGACAGTTACCACTTTCCATCAGGTGGACCGTCAGCTTGGTTGCCATTCTAAGTTGTATAAAAAAATCGATTTGGAAAATTCTATTTCTATCTAAAGCGATATACTTACAGATTAGTTCCATAGTAATTTTATCACAACTGCTTCAAGGTAGAAACACGAACGGGACAGAGGTACCCAAGCAAACGACTCCAAAGTCTCAAAGTGTACAAAGTCTCCCTCTGATAAATTATTATTTATTATTAAATATTTCAAATTTTTAATTGGGTTAAAAAAATCTCCAGGTAAAAAGTGATTCGTATATTTTTTTGCATTAATACACCAGTGAGCATTAAGTATTATACATATATAAAAAGATTGGTTTTAAATCCCATTGTTTTCTCCGTGTCAATCTATAGGTATGTGTTATCTAAAAAATCATCCAACACAAGTACCCAACGTGTCGGTACGCGGTGACGTTGACGGTTCGGTGATGGATGAACCCTGTTCCTTCCATCAACGTGCGCAGCTCGGGTGGATACACCGCATTTTAATGTTTCCACCATGAAATCACCAGTCATCGGGTGAACTTCAATAATGTTTTAGTATCTACTGTTCCAAATTGGAAAATACATGTTAGGTGCATTTTGTAAAAAAAGAAAATTATGATAGAAAGAAAGAAGAAAGAAAGAAACTTTATTTTACAGAAGTATGCGACTACACACACACACATACACACAGGGGTTAAAGAATTATAATAACGGAACTACACACAGAATATTTATATCTTCTGTACTTATAACAAATCTGTAGAGAGGTCAATTCTGTACATGAAATATATTTCCAAAATAACTATCAGGCGGTGATTAGTGATCGATACTGATGCCAAAAATACAATCAGTAAAATTTTTGCCTGTCTGTCTGTATGTTCGTTATAGAAACAAAAAGTACTCGTCGGATTTTAACGAAACTTAGTATAATTATTCTTCATATCGAGCATTTTATATCGAGGAAATTAAATACTTATAAATAACTACATTACGCATAAATATGGAAACGTGCTCGGCATGTAATAAAAAATTTAAAACTGACGAATCGCTTAAGTGTAATCAGTGTAATGAATCTTTTCATTATAAGTGTTTAAATATGAGTTTGAATGCTTATCAAAATTTGAAATTAAGTAATAAGCCATGGCAATGTTGTGTATGCATCAATATTACTCGGCGAAGAGGGGACAACACGAATACCCCAGTCCGTAAACCAAATACACTTGACGAATCGGTGATGTCATGTGATGTTACTATGCATCAAAGTGAAATGGAATGTTCCGTGTCTGCTGAAAATCATACTATTTCGCTGCAACAATTTGGAGTTTTGTTGGATTCTAGATTGGAAAGGTTTAAAGCTGATTTTTTCTCAGATATTAAGGCTTCCATAAGAAGTGAGATTCACTTGGCTATTACTGCATTAAAGGATGAATTCACAGTCACCGTCGACTTTTTAGAGGAAGGACAAAAAAGAATCAACGGTACCTTGGCGGCTGCAGTTGAGAGAGTTTCTGAACTGGAATGTAATAAAAACAAGCTTCAGGGTGATATTTACGAACTTGAACGTCGATTAAAAATTTCTGAAAAAACATCTCGTAGCATGAACATTGAAATACAAGCTGTTCCTGAAAAACGCAGTGAAAATGTTGTTGGTATTTTCAAAAAAATATGTGATGTGATTAATTTCCCTATATCTGATACTGAAATTCATGCATGCCGCCGAGTTGCTAAAATTAATTCCTCTTCAAATCGTCCTCGTAACATACTTGTTACTCTGCCATCTCCTCGTCATCGTGACAATATCTTATCTGCTGTTAGAAAGTTTAATAAGGATAACCCTAAACAAACTTTAAGCACATTCCATTTTGGTTACTCTGGAGAAACAAAGAAAATGTATATAGTTGAACATTTATCTCCTGAATGTAAGGAACTTCACTCACTAGCCAGAAGATTTGTTAAGGATAAGGCTTATAAGTTTGTATGGGTAAAATATGGACAAATATACATTCGAAAAGATGAACAATCAAGTGCTGTGCTAGTAAAAAACGCTGAAATGCTTAAGAGACTTTTATAATTTTTTTTTTCTTTCTCACTCTTTGTACTCTGTTTATGTATGAATGCTATCACTTTATATTGTTTTTTTTTTTCCATATGTTAATATATTATCAAAATGTCAATCGCTTTCGTTCAAAAGTTACTGAATTCTATCTTAATTTATTGAATACCGATTATGAGATAATTTGCTTAACTGAAACTAATTTAAATTTAAGTGTTTATAGTGAAGAATTGTTTGATGAGCGCTACAATGTATTTCGTAAGGATAGAAGTAACGAAACTAGTGTAAAGGCAGAGGGGGGCGGAGTTTTATTGGCTACAAAAAAACTATTGAATGTATCTCGTAGATATGAATGGGACAGTTCAGCTGAGGATCTTTGGTTAACCGTGCATTCTCCATTGTCTAAGTCTTCAGTAAATATTTGCTTAAGTTATTTACCTCCTGATATGCCCCTCAACAAAGTTATTGCATTTTTTGAACACTGTCAAGATATTATTTTAAACAATGGTGAAGCTGGTTCTTTCTTGCTTGTTGGTGATTTCAATATACCTAATATAACTTGGCAACGAGACTCTAATTTGAATATCATGCAGCCTATAAATGCTTTTCACTATAGAGCTTCTATACTATTAGAGACTATGGCAATCTGTAATCTTAGCCAATTTAATCATTTGGTCAATGCAAATGAAAGAATTCTTGACTTGGTTTTGAGTGATTGTGGCAGTATCGATGTTGTGAGCGTTGAACCACTTAGTAAGATAGACAAACACCACCCATCTATAGCTATTAACATAGATTTTCGCCAAGGTGAAATGATTTCTCTTAGTAGATCAAACTCTAATAATTGTAGACCTAATTTTCGTAAATGCGATTATACTAAAATTAAAAATGAACTGAAATCTATAGACTGGATAGCACTGTTTTCGGATTTAGATGTGGACTTGGCTGTTGAATTATTTTATTCTAAGTTGAATGAAATAATTTACCTTTACACGCCTATGCAGAGTTCCAAAAATAATAAATACCCGTTTTGGTACAATTATGCTTTAATACGTTGTATTCGGGAAAAAAACAAATATCATAAAAAATTTAAAATGTATGGGAACCCAAGAGATTATGACACCTTTAATTTACTTCGTCGACGTTGTAAACAGATGATTGATCAGTGCTATAAATCGTTTGTCAATTCAGTAGAAGATGATCTTTCAGACGACATTAAAACTTTCTGGCGATATGTTAATAGTAAAAAATCAAACAATACAATCCCTCAAACTATGACCTACAATAATATAACGGCAACAGAAATACCCGGTATATGTGAACTATTTTCTGATTATTTTAAATCAGTCTTTGAAATTTCTACTGGTGAAGTCAATTATCGGCCACAAATAAACACGCCAGTCTTGAGTAGTTTAACTATAACCTCTAAGGATATAATTAAGGGTATCAGAAAATTAGATTCTAACAAAGGCGCGGGGCCAGATGCTATACCAGCCTATTTTATTAAAGCTTGTGCTGAAGAAATTAGTGTGCCTTTGGAAGTTTTATTTAATAGATCTCTACACTACGGTTCTTTCCCGTCTTATTGGAAAACCGCTTTTATTATACCTATATTCAAATCGGGCGATAAAACGAAGTGTGAAAACTATCGACCGATAAATATACTGTCTTGTATGCCCAAATTATTCGAATCTTTAATATATATTCATTTGTATAACCATGTTAAACAGCGCATAATACCTATGCAACATGGATTTGTTTCTAGTCGATCAACTATTAGTAATCTACTTATCTACAAAAACTACATTTGTAATGCATTTAATAATCGCCAACAGGTGGATTCAATATACACTGACTTTTCCAAAGCCTTTGATAAGGTGAACCATGAACTAATGTTAAAAAAACTTATTTCATATGGGATTCATGGCTCATTGTATCGTTGGTTCGTATCATATATTTCTAATAGAAGTCAAATGGTTGCTATTAAAGGTTTCCAATCTACTCCTGTTATGGTAACCTCAGGAGTTCCTCAGGGATCGCACTTGGGTCCCTTATTATTTATTTTGTTTATTAACGACCTAGTAGACTCTATAAAAAGTGAATGCTTGTTTTATGCTGATGATCTCAAAGTTTATCGCGTAGTGAATAGTTTCAAAGATTGTTTGCAGTTACAGAAGGATCTTGATAATATTTACAAATGGTGTTGTGCCAATAATATGTATATGAACATAAAAAAATGTAACACAATATCTTTTGCTTCAAGGTCTCTAAAATTTATATTTGAGTATAGCATGAACAAGCAAAAACTTAAGCGTAAAGATGTGGTTAAAGATTTGGGAATAATGTTTGATTCAAAGTTATCTTTTCGTGTACATTATGATTATATCATCAGTCGTTGTAACCAGTTGCTTGGGTTCATATACAGAGCAACTAAAAATTTTAATAAACCCCACAGTTTACTATACTTATACAAAACACTTATAAGACCCATTGCTGAGTATGGTACTATAATATGGTCCCCATATTATGCTATTCATGAAGAAAATATTGAAAGAATACAGAAAAGGTGCCTTGCAACTACTTGTAGACGATATGGCTTAGTCAGGAAACTTCAATCCTATGCTTCGCGAATGAAATACTTTAAATTAGATAATTTATTATCTAGAAGACAATCGGCTGAATTAATTTACTTGTATAAAATTGTTAATTCTATGGTTGACTGTCCCTCGCTACTTAATTTACTATACTTTAATACTAACAATAAATGTCGTAACTCCCGTGTTTTTGATGTGCCAAACACTAGGAATAATGTTTCATTTAACAATTCCATTTTAAGAATGTGCCGGTCTTATAATAATGTTCAGCGTGGTGGTGCTCATCAGGATGGTGAAAAGCTTGATATATTTGGTCAGAAGTTCAGTAATTTTCGTCACGACGTTTACGTATTATTTTCCTCTGTAATTAGTAGATAGTTTCTTTTGTTGTAACATATATATGAACGTAATATGTACACCGTGGTATGTGTGTTTCTGTGTGTGTGTGCGCGCGCGCGCGCGCGTGTTTGTGTGTGTGTGTGTGTCTGTGTTTGTATGTGTATTTATATATATATATATATATATATATATATATATATATATATATATGATTATCCATTTTTTGTTGTTTAAATTATATTGTGTTTACAGACTTTAGCTGTGTGTTTATGTTTTGATCATGCCGTGTACGCAAATTTTTGGAGGATTAGCTTGAACAAAACATAATTGTAGTTTATAAATTAATGTAACTATGTTAATTCTCTGTAATGTGTACCTATTGAAATAAAAAAATAAAAAAAAAATATCCCTGGGCAGGTTATAGTATACTTTTAATCACGCTACGATCAATAGGAGCAGAGCAGTGAAGGGAAATGTTGGGAAAACGGGAGAAGTTACTCCATTTTTAAGCTTCCGTCGCGTGTGCAGCCTTGATGGCCACTTTTTGAAATGTTAAAATGTCCACCCGTGCGAAGCCGGGACGGGCGGGTAGTTTATATATAAATATTTTGTGTCTAGTTCCGCTTATTTTGTATTTTTTTTTTATATAATATATATAATATATAAATAAAAAAGGAAAAAACATAAAAGAACATTTATTTCCTTTCGTGCGTGTACCAGAGTAACATAAAATGGTCACAACTCAGTTTATTGCTTTGCACTCAAAAGAAAAAAAAACATTGATACTGTGTATGGCCAAAAACCAGCCGCGAAATTTCTTAACATAACAGAAATATATATAAATTAAATTAATTATGTATGTCCATTACATTCACCGATATTTAATATTTTATTCTAAATTAATAAATACCAGAAAAAAGGAGACTGTACAAAAATCGTTTGGTTAGGTACTCCTGTCTCGTTCAAGTTTCTACCGTAAAGTAATTGTTTTTACATAGCTGTATTTCCGTTTGAAGGCTTGAAGGAATGTAGCAGTGAATTTGCAGGGTACAAAGGTAATAACACCTAAATCCTTAGTATCATGGGCGAAACAGTATACTCTGTTATGTCCATGGTACTTCTCATGTCTATAGGCGACGGTTACCACTTTCCATCGGGTGAGCCGTCAGTTTGTTTGCCATTCTAAGCTGCATAAAAAAAGAACAATAAAATAATAGATACTATTAAAAGAAAGCTAATCAAAGCTCACATTCAAGCCCTCAAGTGATAAATATTTCCGCCACATACCTATTTTTTGTTTATTTATTAAAAACTTAATTAATTGTCTTTTAAATTTTTTTTTTTATTTTAGACTATGTTATTGAAATGTATTAAAATTATTATAATAGTAACAATTATTATACATCTCTTCCTCGTAAAACGAGGCGAATCCAATTTTTTTAATGGGTGATAATGGTATGGTGACCCCGTCTGCGCTATCGGCATACAATAGCGGGGCACCAGTGATAGATGACTAATGAGGATGTGAAGCGAATGATGTTAAGAGAGAATAATATTTGTAGAATGTAAACGTTTATTAATACAGTAATAATAGTAATACAATAGTAAAGAAGGAGAACAATAGAAAATATAAAAAAGGTATAATATTAAGACGATAAGTATGTGCCGTGGCGCCAACAACAACATTCCTTTCATATACGCATGCGCGGCCTGCGCGCGCAACCCGTAGTCGCCGAGCGCCTGCGCGTCCTGCGCGCGCATAGGTACATCAAACAAGCTGCGTGCGCGACCGACCGTATTACATGTATATATAAAATATTTACGCTTGTCTGCGTGTTTTTACAAAATAAATAAAATATATAATTTTATAAGTATGCTACATCACCCCCCTCCAGAGACCGTCTCACGGGCGATAATATTTAGGAAAGTGAACAGTACGACCTGATCTCGTCTTGCGGATATCATCTCTTCCAGTTTTGTTTGGCGTAGTGTGTTGTGGTGAATTTGTGGAAGAAGTGTTTGTATTGTGTATTATGTTCTGATTGTTTTGTGTGTGATTGCTTGATGATTGATTACTAGATGTGTGTGTGTCTGGTGTGGTTGTACTCTTGTATGTGTTGCTGTTCAGTAGCAGCTGTAGTTCTGGATCGGATCGTTGTGCTTTCGCTAACAGCTCTAAGTCCACTGGTTGAACTATTTCTTCTACTCGTGAAAGGGTATCAGCTACTACGTTATTCTTACCTGAGATGTGCCTGATATCTGTTGAAAACTGCGAAATGAAGTCTAAGTGTCTGAACTGTCTTGGAGAGCAATTTTCCTTTCTTGAGTGAAAAGCGAAACATAAGGGTTTATGGTCTGTATAAATAATAAAGTCTCGTGCTTCTACCATGTGCCTGAAATATTTGATTGTTTCGTATATTGCCAACAATTCCCGATCATATGGAGAATATTTTCGTTGGGTTGAATTTAATTTTTTAGAAAAGAATGCCAGAGGTTGCCATCCTTTATTTTCTTTGTATTGCAGTGCAGTGCTACAGCACCTATTGCTGTGTCAGATGCATCTGTAACGATTGCTAACTTAGCCTGGCAGTCTGGGTGTGCTAACAGAGCTGCTTCACAGAGTCCCTTCTTACAGGCCGTGAATGCTTCGAGTTCCTTTGGAGAGAATGTGACAGGATGAGAGCCTTTTACCGAGCCTACTAATAAAGAATTTAAGGGGTCTTGGTATTGGGCAGCATCAGGAACGAATCTCCTATAAAAATTAAGCATACCCAAGAATCTCCTTAGTTCCCGTATTGTTTTTGGCACCGGAAAGTTCTGTATAGCTTCGACCTTGGAGGGAAGCGGCTTAGTACCATCAGCAGATATGAGGTATCCTAAAAACTTTACCTCGGTAGCACCAAACACGCATTTCGAGGTGTTAATTACCATACCGTATTCGCGTAGCCTAGTAAACAGCTGTCTTAGATGGTGCTTGTGCTCCTCTTCATCTTTCGAGAAGACTAAGAAGTCGTCCAAATAAGGGAATGTAAAATCAAGGCCTCTCAGCATCTCGTCCACGAAACGTTGAAACGTCTGTCCGGCATTACGAAGTCCGAACGTCATGAACGGAAATTCATAAAGACCGAACGGCGTCGTGATCGCGGTTTTCTTGATATCCCCGGTGCTTACAGGGATTTGATGGTAAGCTTTCACCAAATCAATGGTAGAGAACACTTTGCAGCCTGAGAGATTATGGGCAAAGTCCTGGATATGACGTATAGGATATTTGTCAGGTATTGTTCGTGCATTTAACATTCTATAGTCGCCACATGGACGCCAGCCATTATCTTTTTTAGGTACAAGATGGAGTGGTGAGGACCAGGACGACTCGGAAGGTGTACATATACCATTCTTAAGCATTTCAGCAAATTCCTGTTTAGCTATTTTTAATTTGTCAGGAGCTAACCTGCGTGGTGTTGATGTAACTGGTGGGCCAGGAGTTGTACGTATGTGGTGTACAGTGTTGTGAGTGGGGATGCGGTGTGTACCATGTGGACGAGTAATGTCAGTATATTCCCTAAGTATACTGTGATATATAGACTCACCCATGATACTTTTTACCGAAGAAATGATATCACAAGACTGAGCAGGCGAAGCCGGGGTCGCGAGGGTTGTATTGTTATCAATCAAGCGTTGGTTCCTGCAATCAACAACAATATTAAAATATGATAAAAAATCGACACCGATTATCGCCCTTGTTACGTCCGCAACAACAAATCCCCAAGCGAAGTCACGACGCAGGCCTAGGTTTAACACTAAATGTACGTAACCATATGTTGCAATTGTAGTGCCGTTTGCTGCACATAATTGATAATTCGATTTTGGTCGACGTTCTTTTAGATAAGTGCGAGGGAAAACGCAAAGGTCACTACCCGTGTCCACTAGAAATTGCGTCTTCGTTTTCTTATCTGTTACAAATAGGCGACCATTTGTAGTGCAATCGTTGGCCGCCATTACCGATTGCCCGTTGCGTTTCCCGCCAAAAAATCGCAGGGTTGAATGCATTTTCTAGCTTGATCACCGAATTTAGCATGATACCAGCAATTGGGGTACTTCTTATGGTTTGAAGCTGATCTTGATCGAGATTGTGATCTTTTTCGCAATCGGTTAAATGGTTGACGTTCGCTATTACGAGATATTCTGTCCAACCTTGTAGTGAGAGCGGAGACTTGTTTTGTGAGCTCTTCTATTTGCTGGTTTAAGTAATTAATAGACATACCAGAAGATGTTGATGCCGATGTGGATGCTACTTGCAGAATTGGAGGTACAACGTCATGTATTCTGTCTGCCAACTCGGCTAGTTCTTCTAGTGAGGCTTTTGGTTGTGATGCAATAATTGACTGCGTACTTGCTGGTAGACGACTGGTCCATATAGTACGTAAAAACTCTTCCGGCACCCCAGGTCCAGCAAGATTCTGGAGATGTCTGACGAACTGAGAAGGTTTGCGATCACCAAGCTCTTCATGAATGAGGAGTTGTTTAACCTTCTTCTCTCTCGATGCTGACAATCGTTTAATAAGTTCAGTTTTAAGTCTGTCGTATTTGTTAGCCATCGGTGGGTTTGTGATGACATCTTCTACTTCCGCTGCATATTGTGGTTCCAATTGGCTTATAGCGTAGTAAAACTTCGTGGAGTCTGCAGTAATGGTGGCTAGTTGAAATTGCCCCTCTAATTGTGCGAACCACAAAGCAGGTTTTTCAGGGTAGAATGGAGGTACCCTGACTCCCACACGGCAGGATTCCATGTTCTGTGCGCCTGGCTCCACGCTCATCTTGATAATCGTGAACAGTTTGAGGTCACCAGTGAAGCGAATGATGTTAAGAGAGAATAATATTTGTAGAATGTAAACGTTTATTAATACAGTAATAATAGTAATACAATAGTAAAGAAGGAGAACAATAGAAAATATAAAAAAGGTATAATATTAAGACGATAAGTATGTGCCGTGGCGCCAACAACAACATTCCTTTCATATACGCATGCGCGGCCTGCGCGCGCAACCCGTAGTCGCCGAGCGCCTGCGCGTCCTGCGCGCGCATAGGTACATCAAACAAGCTGCGTGCGCGACCGACCGTATTACATGTATATATAAAATATTTACGCTTGTCTGCGTGTTTTTACAAAATAAATAAAATATATAATTTTATAAGTATGCTACAGATGAATGCATTTCAGTTAGCCCATCCTGACGAATTCAACTAGAATTAGCCACGATGGTTTCCAGGGGGAACCACGTGGAGGTCGACCTGACAGGGTATATTGCTAGTAATGGGCTATTTGACCCCATTACTAACAATCTCTTTCCCCACAGGCGAATCCAATTTGTTGGGGACCGATAAATCACGATGTCGCTGCACAATTACCGTCAATGGTGACTGCTTGTTGCCGGCTGTAGACACTCGGGACAGATTCATACTGACAGCACTCTAACAATTAGGTAATATCCCGCGGTGTTACCCGCGTAAACTAATATATAATGTATCCTATTTCTTAACTTAAACTTGGACTTGAAGTAAATTTCATTGAAATCCCTTTAGCCATTTCAACGTAATGAGTAACAAATATTTAGTCAAAAATGTATAAAGAAATAACATTTTAAATTTATAATACTAACTATATGTATGTTCTAAGATAGGACATGTCCGTGTAAGAAATTTGCCGTATGGTCCCGGCATAGAATGGGCCACCCCTTCGTTTCCCGTGGGTGTCGTAAGAGGCGACTAAGAGAACTTAATGATCGAGGTTTAATAAAATATTACAAAAGCTTAACTACAGTTACTAGCCCGCCTTCCTGGGGGGAAGGGATTGTTAGTAATGGGTTTGTAATGGGGTAGGACAGTCCATATTGCTATCAATATACACTATCAGGTCGACCTCCACGCAGTTCCCCCTGGAAACTATCGTGACTAATTTATCATTGAATTCGTCACATGGACTAACTGACCTGCCTTTTCATCCTCACGTATTACCTCTCACTGGTACCCCGCCAGCGTATACCGATAGCGCAGGCGGAGTTACCATGCCATATTCACACATAAAAAAAGCACACCTGTCTGATGTGACAACTATTGGCAAAATCCTCAAATTGGGGATTCTGCCAATAGATTATATTATATATTGTATTATAGATTTATTTATTTATTTATTTTACACTTTATTGCACCAAATAAAAAGAGAAATAACAAATACAGTAAATATTAATGAGAAGTGATACAAAAGGCGGCCTTATCGCTAAGCAATCTCTTCCAGACATACACATACATATACAATATATACACAATTAAATATATACATAACATACACATACTTAACAGCACACATACAACAGAAAAAAAATGACGAAGGAAAACGAAGAGAGAACACAGGAAAATAGTACTAAAGTGAGAGGTAGTAAGATTTAACAGAGGTTTTGAAGCTAGTAAGATTAGATTGATTGATATATAGATTGATTATAGATTGGCCTATATTCAGCTATGGACAGTCATCGGCTGATATGATGACAATCATGATGATATTTATATAGATATTAATTATTCAATAAACTAATATTTTTTCTCTCTATAAATTATACAATATATTTAAAAAATGCCGAAACGGAAGCAGAGAAACTGCCCTTCCCGTGGGTGTCGTAAGAGACGATTAAAAAAACTTAATGGTACAGGGATTGGAAAGCTAGTTGCGATTGTCAACGCGTCTGCCAAGCGTAGCAACTATTGGCAAAACCCCCAATAGTGGGAGTAACATCACTACATAGTATAAAACAAAGTCGCTTCCCGTCTATCTGTCCCTATGTAAGCTTAGATCTTTAAAACTACGCAATAGATTTTGATGCGCTTTTTTTCAATAGATAGAGTGATTCAAGAGGAAGGTTTATATGTATAATACATGCATAATATAGTTGAGAAACACTGATAATATTAGAGGTTTCTAATGTGATGTGATGTAATGTGCACCTGTGCGAAATCGGGGCGGGTCGCTAGTAAGCTATATATTCATTTAGAAAATTCTATTTACCCGTGCGAAGTCAGGATGAATCGCTAGTTTTTAATATCCAAACTTCAGGTGTGGCAAACGCAAAATATTTACACTGTTCAATTTAGATCAGACCGCGACCAAATCGCCGTTCACCTCGTTCGAGTAATAGAGTTGGCGAAAAAAATATTTTCCAAGTGTCGTTCTATAGAAAGGTAGGCGGCTGGAATGAAGATTTGGCCGGTTATCGGGTTTCACTTTAAATTAAGGGCGTGTAAAATGTAGTAATAACTATATATTAGTTATAATATCTAATATCCATATATTATAGGATATATATTTACATTATTACATGTATCACATTTCCATATTTAGAAATGATAGAGTTTCATCGTGCCTCCGATCAAATTGTTTATAATTACTCCTCTCCATCCAAAGGTTGCCTGGAAGAGATCGCTCTTAGCGATAAGGTCGCCAATTGTTTTCTCATTGTGATTATTTCTTGTTATTATAAGTTTACTATTGTAATCTTTTGGAGGAAACAATAAAGAGTAACTATCTATTTATCTATCTATCTATCTATATTTTACCAGAGGGAGACTTTGTACAAAAGTCGATTGCTTGGGTACCTCTGGCCTATTCGTGTTTCTACCGTGAAGCGGTTGTGTTTGCATGGCTGTGTTTCGCTTTGAAGGGTGGGATATGGCGTAAATTTACAGGGTACAGAGGAATAACACCTGAGTCCCCTGGTATCCTGAGGCGATACAGTATACTCTGTTATGTCCATGGTACTGCTCATATCTATAGGCGATGGTTACCACTTTCCATCAGGTGGGCCGTTAGCTTGTTTGCCATTCTAAGTTGTATAAAAAAAAAATTGGCCGTGTGGTCCCGACATAAAATAGGTCACCTTTCCTTTCCCGTGGGTGAAGAAGGTCGTAAGAGGCGACTATCAGACTAAAGATCTAGATTCGAATCCCATCAAATTGAGTTGCTGCAAGGTAAGTATTTCAACCTGTGATATTTAAATATTTTCCAAAATACATAAATATGCACGTGACTCCTTCGTCCTGTAACCTCGGATCTTTAAAACGTAACCTGAAAACACACTTAATGAGTCGGCATAGTGTTGAAAATAGAAAATTCTCATTTCGGTTGATCGCATCTATGAACCATATTGTCTTTGTGTTTGCTCAGAATGGTGTAATCACATGTGCTTTAATAAAAAAAAAACTAAGACCTTCCCCTTTTCGAAGTTGGTTGATTAATAAACAAAAATAGTGGAGGCTGAAACCTCAGATGCCATTGTAGAAGGATGCCTCTAAATATGAAATAAAATGACCGACGCTTACACCGAAGCCAATGCTGTTGAAACCTCCTTTTTTTTAATAGATAACAATGGAATGGTAACTCCGCCGGCGCTAACGGTATACGCTGGCGGGTCACCAGTGAAAGATCATAGGTTAGAATGAAAAGGCAGGTCAGTTAGCCCATCGTGATGAATACACCTGGAATTCAGCACGATGGTTTCTAGGGGGGACTACGTGTAGGTCGATCTGATACGATTATTGCTAGCATTGGGAAGATGGACTACATTACTAAGAAACCCTTCCCCCCACACTTCCTTTATATTATATAACTAGTTTTTGAACGCGACTTCGTACGCGAGGATTTTGTTGACAAAAAATAAGTTACGCATTTATAAATCGCATAAGAAAAAAAAAACAATGCTATATTTATTTATTTTTATTTATTCATTAAATATAATTACAACATTATAACAGCAAAAGCCAAATCAATGTTATAAATCTAGTGTGCTAACATACAAAGTTATAATAAATGTATTTAACCCTGAGTCTAGATATTTCTGAGCCGCTTCTAATATCTTTGGCAGGCTGCTACTAAATATATCAATGATGTTCATAATATTATTTAATAACCGTACTGCGTGAGTTAAGGCAGCATGCTGAAGTAGGTTAGTTCTTACTGCTGGGACATTAAACGTAACCGGATGAAAATAAAACAAACCAGATTTTAATTTTAACTTTCAGGAAACAATATGGAAACCACATTCAATTTGGTACAAAAAAAAAAAAAAATTCGCTTTCATATTTATAATACCTGCTGGTATGGATTTTATAAAAATAATCTGGTTTAATAAGGTACTTAGTCTAAAAACAATGGTAGAAGGAGAATCAAAATTGACACCAGAAGATGTCCACAGAGATATTTAAGAAAAATTGATATATGGGGTTTCTTTTTTTTTACAACACACGATGCGAACGAGCATGCGGCTCACCTGACTACCGTCGCCCATGATCACCAGCAACACCAACGGAATTGCAGGTGTGCTGCCGACCTTTTAAAAAGGAATATGCTCTTTTCTTGAAGGTTATGTTGTCGTATCGGTTCGGAAATACTGCTGCTGGAAGTTGATTCCAAAAAGTGGTTGTGCGTGAAAGAAAGTGCCTTGAAAAACGAACGGTGGAAGACTGCCACTCGTCTAAGTGGTTGGGGTGAAATTTTAGCTTATGGCCGGTTGGAAGAAGATGAAAATCAGCAGCAGGTATAAATCCGAACAATTCCTCAGAGCATTCCCCATGATAAATTCGGTAGAAGATGCACAGAGATGCAACATCTCTGCGCAGTTTCAGTGGGTCGAGCCGGGTCTTATTAAGAAAATGGAGTCTTATTACTAATGAAATCAATAATAGATCAATAATTTTTAGATAATAATAGATCAATAATTTTTAGATTTTTTACATAGTATATATAGTTCGTATATTTGTTTTGACATTA